CCGCTGCTGCAAGACAGCCCAGAGCAGGGCTCCCCAGGCCCTGACAGTGCGCTCCAGGGTGCTCTGCTCCAGCTCCTGCAGCAGCCGAGTCATCTCCCTGTTCAGGAGTTCGGCACGCAGCTCCATGCGCACACGGGTGGCCTCATCCAGCCCATCACCCGCCAGCTGTGGGTACTGGATGAGGGTTTGCAAAACCACGAAAAGGAACACTTTGGAAGCCATGGTCTGCAGGAGAAAGAGAAGGAGTTGAGTGTGGATGAAAGGGAGGGAAGGAGCTAAAGGTGAGGGGAGTAGGGATGGGAGGTGCAGGGATGTGGGAGCAGGAAGGAGAGGGCCCCAGGGCAGCTGGTGGGTAGCCAGGTCTGTGCCTCTGCCACAGGAGCATCAGCACCATTGTATGCCCAAGGTGTTCTGGTGAGGGATTGCCCCTGCACAGAGAGTGAGAACCCATCCCCAGGGACAGAGTTTCTGCCCCGGCCCTCGTGCAGCCCAGCCTCGGCCCTGCGTGTGTACTCACCAATTGTCCAGGCTATACTGGGGCAGCGTTACCTGCTGGGGCCCTCTAGAGCTGCCCCCATTGTGACACGGCCCCTGTGATGTCACAAGAGCCCCATCACATCACAGGCAGCCCAGCCCTGCTGGTCATGTCCACTCCAGCTCAGCAATTCCGAGTGGGCCTGCTGTAATGGTTAAGGCTGCCCTTGAGTTAATCTTCTTCCAAGAAGTTCAGTTTTTCTTTCTTTGCGATTTATTATCATCTGCTCCTCAGTGGCAGTCACATGGAATATCCAGGTTTCAAGGGAGCCTCGAGGATGTTGGAGTCCTACCCCTGACTCCAAACTGGTTGACTTTAATTAAATCTCTGAATTACAAAGGTTAGAATGATGCTTACCATCTTTAGTCCATCTGCAAAGCTTACACTGCCTCTTCCACCAATAAAACATGTACCCAAATAACACATCAACAGGCCCTTTCATTGCCTCCAAGGATGGTGACTCAGCCATTTTCCTTGGGCAGTCTCTTCCTAAGCTTGAGAACCCTTGTGGTGAAGGTAGTTTTTCCTCAGAGTCAATCTAAATCTCCTCTGGCGCAACTTGAGGCCCTTTCCTCTTGTCTCAGTGCTTCTTCCCTGGGAGAACAAACCGTTCCCCACCTGGACACCACTTCCTTGCTGCTGCTTGTAGAGAACAATTAGTCCCCCTGAGGTGCCTTTTTCCTCATGCTAAA